ACCTTCCCCTAGAATGAGATTTGACTACATTATACTCCCAAATTATTATTGTGTGGCATTGTAAACTAAAGGCAACACTAAAAGCAAACTATCAAATATATATGATGGGATAAAAATTGCTTTAACAAAAATTTAATATTCTCTCTTTTTAACTCATATCTGTATTACCCTATTTCTGAAGTACAGCAGAACCTTGCTAATCCACACTAATACCTGGGAGACTGATTGTCAATTACTGACATTTTGTGAATAAGCAAGTACTGTAAGCCAACAATTAACAAAGACAATGCATCACAAAATGTACTTTGTTGATTTTGACAATTGTAGTTTGGTTTTATTTATTTATAATACTTCACAGTGTACTGTGATATATTTTGTAAAAATAATGAAGACTTGAGCTCAAGTAATGTGCCATTTTAAGAAAACATTTTAGGAATGAAAGCATCGGAAGTCTATAGTTGGGACAGTGAAGCTATGGAGACCCCAGACACATACAGGTATCCATGCCAGACAGAATATATCCATAGCGTATTTCTATAATTTAACAGAGAGAACAGCCAAGGATGTAGGTCTATGCATAATAGCGTCCACTGGGACGCACAACTAATTTGGGTGCCTCAAGAGGCATTGGTCTGCATCCATTTCTTCACATAGGGTGCAACAGCAGCTCCAGACAGGATGAGCAGAGAGCTGGAAATCAGCATTATGTTCCCCTAGCTTTCTGTAGTTCCTAGAGACAAAGCTCTTTCAATCAGTCTTTGCTCATGGGTTCAGGTTTGGGGCCTTAAAAATACGAAAGTTTTGTACAGAGTTCGGCTATGAAATCTTTACTATAAGGTACGGCAAGACCACTATTTGCATATACACCTTAGCTGAGTTTTACAGCTATGGACTACCAAGCACTGGCAAGCCAACAACGGTCCACTATCACAAAACGATGTTTTGTTTTGGATCTCTAAGAGAACTTCAGTAGTTTGCCACTTGCCAACAATTTCCTATGCTTATAATAGCTAACTGTTGGCAATTGCTGTTTTGTTTTTAAATGATGGGTACTATATCTTGGAATTTTTTAACGTCTGATTTGTTGAAAGGTTAGTTTTTGTTTTCACAATTGTTATAATTACGCTAACAAAACCTCCATATGTTTTTTTAAAAAAATCAAATCACACACTGATATTTTCTACTTTAAAAAAATCTCACTGGTGGTTTATGACTCTTTGGAAGCTTGAAAATCTTCTTCCACCTCCAATCATCAATTGTCTACAAAGTGGGCTGTTAATGTAGAATTAACTTCTTGGTGGAGACAGAGGGGGAAGAAAGTGAAAGGAGAAGAAGGGGAATTCTCTGGAGTTTTATCTGGAGTTCTCACTCCTAATGGCCTACTTCTTGGTTGTGTTTTTGCTGTTGTTGGGATTGTCTTTTGTACTGTTTATTAAGGCAAAGTTACAACAGAACAGTAACATAGTACACTGTACATTACTTACTCAGGATCAGGTTAATATTCACAGAACCTAACCAACTGGCTTCCCAGCTGGTGAGCCCTCCTCCTCTGAGTATACTAGGAAGGGTGCCACATTTCTAAATACCTATCCCTCATTTTGGTTCTTCTCTTCTGTATATGCTTTGTGTGCCCATGTCCCATTCTTCTAGTCAAAAAGAACCAAATGCGGCTTTTCAAACTTTGTTCTTGCCAATCTTTGGTTGGCAGCCAGAGAGCAGATTTTTCACTAACATGATAATAATACACAGCATTTACCAGTAGATCTCAAAGCACTTTAGAAAGGAAGTCAGTATCATTATCCCCATTTTACAGATGGGGGAACTGAGACAGGAAGTGACTTGCCCAAAGTGATTCAGCAGGTCTGCAGCAAAGCCAGGAACAGAACTCAGGCATCCTAACTCCTGGTTCAGTGCTCTATTCTCTGGGCCAGTGGTCTCCAATTTTGGGGGAAGGTACCCCTGTCTGCACCACCATCCCCAGGAGCTGGGGCCAGGAGCGGGGCCATGGCTCCCGGGGGGGGTGGGGGGGACGGGACGTGAACAGGAGTAAGGGGGCTGAGAATGGGGCTGCAGCTGGGGGAAGGGCTGGGGCTGGGAACGGAGCCCTGACTGGTGGCCAAGGCTGAGGACGGGTACAGGGCTGGAGCTGCTGCAGGGGGCTGAGGCTGGGGGCCAGCACAGGGCTGGGAGCAGAGAAAGCAGAGGTGGGGCGGGGCTGGGTTGCACTCCCTCCCTGCCCCCCAATGAGGGCTAGCCTTGACCTGCCATGCCCTCCCACGAACGGTCCTCTGCACCCCCTGCCCTACAGTCTGGGGATTAGTGCTGTAGTTTAAGCCATTACAAAGCACTGCTTTCCCCCCACCCTCTGAAGCTGAGCAGACCACCTCCACAGTAAAACAGTGGAGGAAGATGACAGACATAAAATTGCCTACATTTTGCTAACAAATTTGATTAAATACGGTACATCAAGTTTTGGGTCTGTCAGCCGCCATAGTTTCTCCTTAAACTGAAGACAAGCCCCAAAACCATCTAAATCCCAAAAACTTCTCTTTTTTGCATGCTGTTTTGAAAGATTATTACAAAAATAGCTCTCTCCTACTCTGATTTCTTTTGTATGTAAAATGGGCTGGAACATTAAGTTACAGACACCTGAACATAAGAATTTATAATGGTAACTTAACAGCTCTGGATATCCTGAATCTAATGAAAAAAAAAGGAATAATATTCTAATTACTCCTTCTTCCATTTATTTCCTCCACTCAGACTAATACACTCTTCTGCAAAGTGGATGGTAATTCTTGCTCAAAAGCAACATGAAGCAGCTACAGGGAATCTCAGTGAGAGCACTCCAAATCAGGCAAGGCCTGTCTGCGCAACACCAGCAAAGAGAACAGGCCCTGAAAACATAAGGGTCAATATTTTCACATTCAGTTCCAGGAATCAGTATGCATATGTATGTTCTACCTTACAGTCATACTTCCAAGAAACAGAAACCTAGCTGTTTCATTCAAAGGAGACCTGGAACCTGATAAATCATTATCCCTCTGTTCAAGATCAAATACCCAAGATAATCTTCAATCCAAGATGAGCTCAGGATTACTGATACAGAGGATCAAACCTTCTAACATTAAGCAGCATTTTCAACTGAAAAGGCTGGCCTACGTGGAAAAAACAAAGCCACCAGAAGTACCATATAAACCAGCATCTATTCCGGTTTCTCATGTTACAGTATAAACTTCCTCACAAATGTAAATAAGACATCCGTTGCAAAAAATAAAAATAAAAAATGGATAACGCAGAACTAGTGCCAAAAACCAAATAAAACACATACACTGAGTTTTGTTCAATTCAAGTACCTACAGTTTTAAAATAGTTTACTATTCTGGTGGGAAAAAATGAAATGAAAGGTGCTCCCATGTAACCATATGAATTTTAGCTGACACTTGGAAAAGAGCATGCATCATCATCAGCAATAAATACTATTCCTATTATGCAACATGGATTCGTGTTTGCAAGCATAATTCTGTTACAGATGTCTATAGTCAAATATAGAACCTCTGCACTCAGAAATTATGTAAACTATTAAAAGAAATCATAGCACAGTGATTTGTTAGGCATTTACTCCACCATGCAAGCTATTCACCCTATCAAATTTGAGAAACACAATATATTATACCTACATATAAAACTATATAAAATATTTTCTGGCTAAACATTTAACATGCCACTTTCATTGTATCACAATTCACTTCCAAATACGTTATGTAATCTACTGCAGTCAGAAATAAAAAGGTTCCTTTATATTTGTCACTCTTTGATATAGACACCCTGCCTATCAACAGCCACCATACAACTTACCCAATCCAAAAATTCTCAAGGCTTTTAAGACTGTCTACTTTACTCTGCTGAACACAAAGAAAAAAAACTCATTTCACACTAGAATATTTCAATATTTTTCCTCCATATTTTTCTTGACTGTAGATTTATAAAACCAGCTTACAGCCAGGACTGGTTAGCTTTGTGAAAATCATACTGGATAAGATTCGAGAGTTACTGATTTCCTGTTTTAGGAAGTAACAGTTCTAGCAAAAGAATCCCCAAGGCAAAATGTTTAGTGTTCCAGTGTGTAAGCTCTAACAGCCTTTGTTCTTCCCTTTGCTATAATCATTACTGCTTTCTTCTCTCTCCCCCTCTCCCTCTCTCTGAAGCCTCCAGCTTTCAGTATAAGATGCAAATGCCAGCTCAAATCTAAGTACACATTTATTTTTTAGATGACAAAAAAATCCTGTCCATTATGCATTGCTGTGAAGCTTTGGTTAAAAGCAGTCATCCCTTAGCAGCTGATGCACTGCCCATTCGGTTTCCTATTCTTATTTCATAACTGCTCAATATTATAATTTATGTCACTAATAATCCACTGGAACGCTATCAAAGCTCTAAAATATATCCTTCCACTTGGCTGCAAAATCCTCTCGGTGTAATACAGTTTAAGAAACACAATCAACTTAGTATATTTTATATATATTATACACTTATACATAAAACATATATAAAATACCAGTATTACATTAAAGTTGTTAATTCAGAAATAATAAGTAGGCTACCTAGATTTGGCCATGCAATCAATTTATAAATAATTAGATGGAACATTCAAAATGTGTAATGCTGTACTGCAATGCAGAATAGTTCACTGCCATGTGGTCCACAATTTATGATTGTCACTCAGAGGCCTATTCTGTATGACTGAATAGTGAAAAAATCCTCATCTATGAGATATATAAATGAAGATATTGTATTTAGCCTGGGTATCAGTAAGTCTTTACAAACAATAGCTTTAATCCCATTAAACTTGGATGAGGTTAATAGTATTTCTTCACCTACATTGAAACCATTGTTTCTTCACTAATGTGTCAGGTGTGCAATCAGAAGTCAGATTTAGTTTTTGTATACATGTAGCTTCATACTGTTGTTATAGTCATACTCAAAATACCATATCTCACCTTGTGAACCTTGACCTTTGAAAGATTTTTTAGCCAATGCTCAGTTATTGTCAGAGATGCATTACCTCTGCAAATATGAAAGGGTTAAAGGCAGCCCCAATCAATAGGCCTACAAGAAAAAAAAAAAAAAAGAGTATGCCTTACAGCATCTTTGCAATGCTTTTATGCACAATCCTACAACAATACGGTTTCCTTTGGCCTTTAAGAAAGACACAGCACCCCCCTTCACATCTTATAACGAAGAAAACCGTAAGACAACACCCTGTAAATAAAACAGCATGCAAAGCAGCATTCTTCAGTCACAAGCATAACGACAATTACAAATCATTCAATCCATTTTTATTTAGTTTAACCAGTGTCCCACCCTTGCAAACCAAAAATATTTGAATAAGGGTCATAAATCTCAGCTCTTGCCCATTCTTTAAACATAAAAAGGAATGAAAAGCTAAAGTAATCTCAGTTACTGCAAATATGTAAATTTATATAAAGAATCCTTTATGACTACATTAGCCACATACCAGTGCAGTGTGTCTAAAGTGTGCATTCACATACTGTTTTGGGATGGTATCTTTCTGCAAGCTCCTCTGCTTTTGGCTGCCATGAAGGGAGGAAGCTATCCCACTGTAGTAGCTCAGTGACTGCATTGTGTTCAGGAGCTGATCTGCCTCAAACCAGTTTCAGCCGGTTCTGGTCACCCTACATAAAAAGCTATGGCAACCCTCGCTGAGTTGCCAACAAGTCCCTGAAAATTGCAAGGGCTCTTTTCTTCTTTGGATATGGGGGTGATTTCAATCATGTCCCCCTATTTCAATCATATCCCCACTGCATACAAACATCCTTACACCCCAACTCCACCCCATAAACGTTCCCTTCCTCTCCTCCCCCACTTACCTCCCACAACCTGGCTGAAAGCTGTGAGCGTGTGTGTCTGTAGCTAACAAAGAGACTGCAATAAAAATCCTCATAGGATCTCTCTTGCTGCACAAGGCAGACTCGGCCGCAGCACTGGGGTGACTGCTAACCAAGGTCCTCTCTGCCTCCACTCCCTACAGTACAGGGTGGCTGCCGATTAACGTCATACCTGCCCCCTCATGCCGGCAGCTCTGGGGTGGCAGCTAACCAAGGTCCTCTCCTTCCCATCCTCCCATCTCTTCACAGTATTTGGGGCAACGCTAACAAGTGTTTTCTCCCCTCCACACATGACTTTTCTCCCCACCCCACAATCCGCTTCCACAAGAAATCACTTCTCCCCACGCCCAACAGCACTGTGGTGACTTCTTTTGCCTCTAAATCCTCTTTAGGCTCTGGTGGAAAAGAGTTGTTAACCAAGGTCTGATCTTCCCCCACACCTTCACAAAGCACAGGGGGCAGGGAGCGGGTGCTGCTAACCAAAGTCTTCTCATCTCCCACAACCCCCATCCCCAAATGTGACTCCGTCCTGAACAAGGTCTTCCCAACCCACTCAACTCCCCAAAGGTCTAGAATGACTCCTCATCAAGGCCTTTTCTGCACCCACCCCTCTCAGCACCGGGATAGTTCCTAACCAAGTTCCCCGCTTCCTCTGCCATCCTCCAATCCAGGGCCTTGCTTCCTCAACACACACTTGAGGGTGGCTCCAAATCAAGATCTTCTATGCCCCCATTGATCTTTTCTGTGCCCTTTCCCATGCTCTCAGTGAGGTGGCTCCTCACCATGATTTTCTCTGCACCACCCTAACCAATCCCCCCAGAGGTATAACTAATGGCGCTTTCTTCCCTCCAACCCTTCCTCTTAAAGAAGCAGCTCCTGACAAAAGTCTTGTCTGTCTCTGATCCTCATGCCACCTTCTCCCCACAAAGAAGTGGTTCATAGCCACAGTCTTCTCCACATGCCTTACACTCATCTCCTCCCAACTCTGGGGCAGCTGCTAACCCCAGTCTTCTCTGTGTCCCTCGCCCCATCTCCTCAATGCACTGGGGCAGCTCCTAACCTCAGTCTCCTCCACACCGGTCATCTTCATCCCTTGCCTGCACTGGGGGGCTCGGAACCACGTCACAGTCTCCTCCACATCCCTCACAGCCACCCCTTCTCACAGTGGGGGGCTCCTAACCATGGTCTCCTCCACACCCTTCACCCCATCCCCACCCTTCACTGCGGGGCTCCTTCTCATGGTTCCTTCTGCATCCCTGACCCCCATCTTCTCCCTGAAATGGCAGGCTCCCAACCAGTCTCCTCCGCACTCCTGGTCTCCATTTCCTCCTTGCACTGGGGGGCTCCCAACCAGTCTCCTCTGCACTCCTGGTCCCCATCTCCTCCCTGCATTGGGGAGCTCCCAACCACAATCTCCTCCGCACTCCTGGTCCCTATCTCCTCTCCCTGCATTGGGGGTTTCTCAACCAGAATCTCCTCCGCACTCCTGGTCCCCATCTCCTCTCCCTGCATTGGGGGGCTCCCAACCAGTCTCCTCCGCACTCCTGGTCCCCATCTCCTCTCCCTGCATTGGGGGGCTCCCAACCACAGTCTCCTCCGCACTCCTGGTCCCCATCTCCTCTCCCTGCACTGGGGGGCTCCCAACCACAGTCTCCTCCACACTCCTGGTCCCCATCTCCTCTCCCTGCGCTGGGGGGCTCCCAACCACAGTCTCCTCTCCCTGCACTGGGGGGCTCCCAACCACAGTCTCCTTCGCACTCCTGGTCCCCATCTCCTCTCCCTGCACTAGGGGGCTCCCAACCACAGTCTCCTCTCCCTGCAGTGGGGGGCTCCCAACCACAGTCTCCTCCGCACTCCTGGTCCCCATCTCCTCTCCCTGCATCCCCCCAGTGGGGGCTCCCAACCACAGTCCCCTCCGCACTCCTGGTCCCCATCTCCTCTCCCTGCACTGGGGGGCTCCCAACCACAGTCCCCTCTCCCTGCACTGGGGGGCTCCCAACCACAGTCCCCTCCGCACTCCTGGTCCCCATCTCCTCTCCCTGCACTGGGGGGCTCCCAACCACAGTCCCCTCCGCACTCCTGGTCCCCATCCCCCTCCGCACTGGTGGGAGGCGGTTCCCAAACTAGAATCCCTACATGGTCTCCAGCACCAAGCTAAAGCCCCTTCCTGTTCAGAGCGTAGCTGAGGCCTGGGTGGGGGCTGGACCAGTTCAGGGACCCCACCCCAGAGGGTGCTGGGGGCCGCAGGGGCCTTGCCTGGAGGAGAGGGCGCTCCCCTGGGCGCCCACCTTAACCCCTCCCGCGGCTGGGAGCCGCTAACCACCCCCCTGCCGTGCTGGACTTTGCAGCCCTCAAGCCCTGGCAGCTGTAGCGCTCGGGTGACCTCGGCCCTGCGCGCTGGCGCCGGCTGCCTCCCCGTGACGGAGGGGTCCCGCCGGTGGAAGAGAGGGGACACCCTTTCCTCCTTCCCCGCTCCCCCCCCCCGGCCCCCGGCGGCCTCGCGCCGCCTGGGAGCCCCCCTGGGCGGCGGCGGCTGCTACCGCGGCGGCGGCGAGCGCGGGGCCCGGGGAGAGAGCCGCGGCTGCCGCACTCCAGGCCGCTCTGCCACAGCCCAGCGGGGCCTAGCGCGCGTGGGAGCAGCAGCAGCAGCAGCCAGGCCGTGGGGAGAAAGCGAACCCGCTGCATGCACATGCCGCACCCCCATGCAAACAGACCTGCTGCTGCCCTGCAGGGTCAGCGACCCGCACCCGTGGGGGGCAGCTCCTGCACGGGGGGCCTCGGGCAGACAGGGCTCAGGCCTCTCTCACGGACACTGCAGCCTGCGGAGAGGCCTGGTTAAAAGATGGTTGAACATAATGGCAGAGAGAGAGAGACACTCTGGCTGGGACTGGAGGAAAAGGTGGGGGTGGGGGGGTGCCTCTGTGGCTTGTCGAGAGATGGGAGAGATCTCCCGTGTGATCCGATTTTAAGCTTCTCCCTTGCTGGGAAGGCGGTTAGGGGCTTTTATAGGTGTGTTTGGAGCATTTCCTTTGACAGTCAGGGACTCCTTGGGGGACAGAGGAGAGACAGAGAGAGGGCGAAGGAGTTAAAAGTCAACCATACATGGCTAAATCGCAGACAAGGGGAGCTCATGTGCACTGCTGGCTTAACGGGGGATCTGCAATTTCGGGGCTTTAAAAAAATAAATAAATAAAACTTGTTCTTTAGGAACCAGATTGAGCAGGCCCAGACAAAGAGTATATATATATATATATAGGTTACCAGCTGCGATTCATGGGTTTTGGTTTTTCCAAATTGAAGACTGAAAATGGTGTTGGCTAAAATGTCAAATTACAGAGATACTCATTTTAAAAATAAATGAGAAGTGAGACAAGCAGGATCTGATTTTTTCCTTAATGTTCACAGAGGTTTTTACAGCTGGAAACTGAGAACTCGACGTTTGACATTCAGAACAGAAAAATCCCACTGACTTCACTAGGAAATTGGGGTGGGGAGTATGTTTCCTCCTCTCACAATCTTTTCTGTTTTCTTCTATCATTACCTATGTTAAAAAGCCTCTACTCTCAGAGAGGGGTCTTCTAGTTTTTACAGGACAGGAATCAGATCTGGGTTTTGTTTTCACCTCTTGCAGTGACTTGCTATAACCACAAACAAAGCAAAAACTTGTTTGTACCAGTTTCATCACCACCCGTAAAATGGGGACAATATTTCCTTTCCTCGCAGGGACACTTTATAGCTTTGTGAAGCTATTTGACGTCCCTAGACGGAAGATGCTATGTAAGAATAAAGAATTATAATTATTTGCTGTAAGGTGGGAGAAAGGGGTTATTTTTTTCTGACTCCTGCAGTAATTAATTTACACCCTAAACATGAGATTTGATTAGACTTATTTTGCCACTCATGAAGGGACGTGGGCGGTTGAAATTACATATTGTAAAATAAAATGTGGGTTTTTTTATCAGTATCATTGTAGATTAATACACTAGCAGGAAACTTAAAATATCTGCACATGCTTTTTAACATTATTGCAAATCATTTGCATTTCACTTACTGTGTACACTGGACAATGAAAACAGTTTCACTTTTGTTTCTTGGCAGTTTCACTTTCTGCGTTATAGGAGAATGTTTAAATCCAACCTTAAGGACTGGCTCATAGAAGCTGGTGCTTACAATTTTCAATAGAGTTTTGAATCTTAGCTGTTATAAACCCCTTGGCTTTTTGACTTCTTTTTTTTTAAACAAAACATATAATTTTTTGACTATATTGACTTCATTGTTCCCTAACTACAAATATTATTGATCATAAAATTATCCCACCTCTTTCAAAAAATTACTCTATAGTATGACTGATCTCTTGTGGCATGAGTTCTATGAGCTGACTACAGGCTGCATGTAGAAATAGCTTTTTGTTCATTGGAAAGCTGCCTGCCATTAATTTCATTGTTTGATCCTTTTTCTCTGATAATGGGACAGCATATTGTACAATTGTACAGAATTCGTCTTTGAAGCTTTACATATGAATGACTAATTATAACATCACAATAATAGCATTATTACATTTGAAATAGGTGTTACTATTTTACTCTATATACTTTGGCATGAACTTCTGCATTTTTTGCAAGTATATAGAAATTTGTCATATACACACTTGATAATCATGAATGCTACAGTAACATTCTACATAAGACTCACAAAAACAGCATAGATGCAATAAGCGATACCAAATTAACATTAAAGTATCATCTTATGGAAGGATGCTCTTATTAGAAGATTTGTTTACAAAGGCCCTAGTTCTTCAGATTCATTCACTTGGGACAGATTATCCACCCATATATGTGAGTTTGCAGGATCAAGACCTTAACTTGCTTATAATCTTAATCAAAATAATAAGTGATTAGCACAATAAATTAATTACAGGCACAATATTGATCCATAGTGAGTTTGGCACTTTTTAGAGCAAGTATTTGAATGAATTTGGCAAACAGTAATAAGAATAAACTAGGACTGTTGATTAATTGCAGTTAACTCATGCAATTAACTTTAAAAAATTAATTGTGATTAATCTCACTGTTAAATAATAGAATACCAATTGAAATTTATTAAATATTTTTGGATGTTTTCCTACGTTTTTAAATATATTGATTTCTATTACAACACCTAATACAAAGTGTACAGTGCTCACTTTATATTATTATTTTTGATTACAAATATTTGCACTGTAAAATGATAAACAAAAGAAATAGTATTTTTCCATTCGCCTCATACAAGTACTGTACTGCAATCTCTTTATCGTGAAAGTGTAACTTACAAATGTAGATTTTTTGTCTTATATAACTGCACTCAAAAACAGAACAATGCAAAACTTTAGAGCCTACAAGTCCACTTAGTCCTACTTCTTGTTCAGCCAATTGCTAAGAAAAACAGGTTTGTTTACATTTACGTGAGATACTGCTGCCTGCTTCTTATTTACGTCACCTGAAAATGAGAACAGGCATTCATGTTGCGCTTTTGTAGTCGGCGTTGCAAGGTATTTTACATGCCAGGTATGCTAAAGATTCATATGCCCCTTCATGCTTTGGCCACCATTCTAGAGGACATGCTTCTATGCTGATGATGCTTGTTAAAAAAAAATGTGTTAATTAAATTTGTGACTGAACTCCTTGGGGGAGAATTGTATGTCTCCTGCTCTGTTTTACCTGCATTCCGCCATATATATTTCATGATATAGCAGTCTCGAATGATGACCCAGCACATGTTCGTTTTAAGAACACTTTCACTGCAGATTTGACAAAACGCAAAGAAGGTACCAATGTGAGATTTCTAAACATAGCTATAGCACTTGACCCTAGGTTTAAGAATCTGAAGTGCCTTCCAAAATCTGAGAGAGACGAGGTGTGGAGCATGCTCTCAGAAGTCTTAAAAAAGCAATACTCAGATCCGAAAATTACAGAATCCGAACCACCAAAAAAGAAAATCAACCTTCTGCTGGTGGCATCTGACTCACATAATGAAAATGAACATGCGTCAGTCCACTCTGCTTTCGATAATTATTGAGCAGAACCCGTTATCAACATGGATGCATGCCCTCTGGAATGGTGTTTGAAGCATGAAGGGACATATGAATCTTTAGCGCATCTGGCACGTAAATATTTTGCAACGCCAGCTACAACAGTGCCATGCGAACACCTGTTCTCACTTTCAGATGACATTGTAAACAAGAAGCAGGCAGCATTATCTCCTGCGAATTGTAACCAAACTTGTTTGTCTGAGTGATTGGATGAAGTAGGACTGAGTGTACTTGTAGGCTCTAAAGTTTTACATTGTTTTATTTTTGAATGCTGTTACTTTTTTTTACATAATTCTACATTTGTAAGAGATTGCACTACCGTACTTATGTGAATTGAAATACTATTTCGTTTGTTTTTTACAGTGCAAATAGCAGCTCATTTCAGCAACATTATTCTTCACCTGTAAATTGGCCTTGTATGTACCCAATTCATGGAGAGTTGCAGGCTACCAGTGAGACCATGTCTACATTACAGATATTACAGTGCTGTAGTTATGCCACTGTAGCACCATAGTGTGGAAGTTTTCTACAGCAATGAAAGGGGTTTTTCTGTCGCTGGCAGAACTCCATCCTTCCTGAGCGACAGCAGCTAGGTCAACATTCTTCCATTGACCTACCTGCATTTACACCAGGGGTTAGGTATTTTTCACACCCCTGAGCTTCATAGTTATGTCAGCCTAACTTTTAATGTAAACCAGGCCTGAGTCAGAACCATGTCTCTCTTTGTTGGTGACATCAAGTCACCAAGCAGTTAGAGTTGCTGGAGCCATTGTTGGTCTCTTCAGAACCAGTGAGTTTGGTTTTAGGCCTGGTCATAGCATGGAAACTACCCTGATTGTGTTGGTTCACAACCACTTCCTGGTAATTAACTATCTGTAAGCTTCCTTCATTACCGTTGAGGTACCATTAACTCATGTGTGGACAGTAAAGGTAGGTAGAGTTGCTTGAGTTTCTTTATTCCTTTCTTTTGGAGAGATCTCTGAAAGTAGTACTGGGCAGTTGCTTGTCTGCCCTGATGCTTCCCTCATTCATGTCACCTCTCCTGTTCCATGTGTATATTGAGCCATTAGACGGCATAGGCTTTGGCTTCCCTGCTAAAAAAGGTGAGCTTTTTACCTCACATTCATGAGCTATCCCAAAGTAAAAACACAGTGAAAAAAAGGCACTTTAGTTTTACTACAAAGTAAACGAAGCGAGGTAAACCCCAGCCTGAGGTATAGGGCTGACTTAAGCGAGTGTACCTCATAGTAAACCTAAAGTGCCTTGTCTTGCTATAGTCTTAAAGTGGGATAGCTCTCATGTGAGAGTTACCCTGAGGTTCAAAACACACCATTTTAGTGATATAAACAAGACCTTAGTGGGAAAGTGCGGTCTCATTGTAGGGTCTTCAGTTTGCAGATTATACCCAGCCTTATATGTCCATCATTTCTGATGGGCCAGTTCCTGACAAAAGGTATCAGCAACAGGCTCAACACCGTTTAAGGGCTGCATACAGTTTAAATGTAAGTGTAGATGGTGACAAACTGCAGTTAAAACCAACACCGAGAATATCTGAACCACAGTTTTCTGAAATGATGATAAGTGGGTTTGCAGTTAACCTGCGCATTGCTGAACCTGTTGTTGAAACCTATTGTCAGCAACAGGTACTTCTGCTAGTAGAGGATCTGGCTTTTGACAAGGCCTTCCCTAGTAATAGCCACTTCCCTAGGACATCTATCTAGTAGCAAATGGGAGTGGAAGACACAGAAGGCAAGAAGAAAGGAATTAAACACAATAAATAAATAAATAAATAATACAAC